CTAGCACATTTGCAGAAGCTCGCCGGAGCGACTGGGGAGAGGGCAGAGAAGTCAGGAAGTGGCTTTGAGGTTTTCACTCAGCTGGGGCGGGGTGGGGGGAAAGCTTGTTTTGGCCTTTTTTTCCAAAAAGGAACTGCCTTATATATGTCTGTTTTCTTAATCTGAAATGTCTAGCTATAAAGAAAAAGCAAAAGTAGATACTAACCGAGGCATTTCTTCGGGCTCTACGGGAATAACGCTCACTGTCTTCCTACCAAGGCAGCAGAGAAAAACAGAGAGTGAAGTGTTGAAAGGACAGATACACCAACAGTGTGCTTTCAGAAAGACACAGTGAACTTCAGCAGTGTTTAGGAGTCAGTAATGCTAAACCAAATAACGGAAGATGACACCTTGTCAAGTCAGAACAACCCTTTTTCCCCTCACTTGTGACCCCAACTTTCCTCCCCCCCCGTTTTATTCTGTTACACACTTCCATTACTTTTCCAGAAAACTGTGCACAGTGACACCTTTATCTGTACCTCAAAAAAACGTTTCAAGTGCACCTCTCTGCATCTGGGAAACAGTATACTTACAGTGCTTTTGTAATTAAGCCTTCCAGTTTGCAATCCTTCAAAATAAATCTCAAAAATCTTCTGTTTGAAATAGTGTGGCAGGGCAATGGTCTTTCTCTAGCAAGTATCCCAGCGGGGCACAGCTTGGCCCTTTTCTTCCAGACCAAAAGCATCTGTGCTTTGCTTACAGCCCCTGCGACACGCAGCACCGCTGCCTTTTGCAGGCCAAAGGCTGTGTAAATGCTGGGAATGCTGTAGGATATATTACGTTTCAACAAACTCATTTTAACAAACTGATTTTATGTGGAATTTAGAAACAGTGATAGAAAACAGGGAAAAAAAAAGTTTTAACATTGTAGTTAATGGTTCTCACAGGTGAACTGATTTCTAAGCAAGTGAATTGCTAGTGAGGTGGAGCTAAGCTCACCAAGCAAGGATCTGAAGACACTTAATGGCTTATCCATGAGATTGGAGCATCTTGGGTGGATGGTTCGTCCATATGGCAGCAGGCCTTCAAGAAGGCATAAAGCAAACAAGCATTTATGCCGATGAATTATCAAGGGTCAAGGAAGTCAGGGAGTTTGAAAAGCTATCTTCCACAGTGGAAGTCAGCTGTTCGGTTTTGCCTTTTTCAGCGTGCCCTACTGAGCTTGTCGGGCAAGGCCACGAACTACAGTTTTCATCTGGCATCACCGGTAAGTTTATGAAATCGCTTATGTTTAAAGACATTTGAAGCCAATGTCTTCCAGCCCTTTAAGCAACTTCTTCATCCTATATTATGGGTGTTAAAACAGTCAGATGTTGCTAATTGGCCAAGTCCATACCTGGTATCAACTTCACTGGCTTAGCAAATAGTAAAATCCAGGACGTTGCATTATTGGAAAAAGCAAGCATTGCCATAGTAGCAGTAATAATGCATCCAAACAGTGCCCCTGGACCAGTAAGTACAAAGGTAACTGAAGAAGCATGGATAAAACTTGCCCAAAATTTAACTGAAGACAGATTGGAGAAGACTGAAATTGTAAAAAACAAGTAGTAAAATGAGTACATATATTCCTTGTATCACAAGTGGCTTTAACGGGTCTATGGGCTAAGCTGATGTTCAAGCAATAGGGTGGAGACTGAGGTCTGTAAAAAGAGATGGCTCTAACCAAACTCTCGCCAGTTTTAAGCTGATCATAAGCCACAATTCAGGTATTGATGCGGACTGCAAGAATCCTTGTGATAAGAGTGGAATTCACGTTTCCAATACATGAAAATACCTACTTTGTGGAATTTCAAACTCTATTAACTATACAAAACTTCAACACGTGAAAGTTGTTCAGCTACGTTGATCAAGGCCTACCATCCATTGCTCGATGTCTCCCCATTTAGTATCCAGACCATAATATTTCTACAGACAGAAAAGGGAAAAAACAGAATTTAGATGAGAAAGGCAAACACAGAACATTTTGACATGCATTGCCAGGTTTCGGCTGAGCCACACAGCTCCACACACACAAACATGCCGGGGAAAAGCCGCGCCGAGTGCCATCAGAGCCCTCCGCAGCACGTGCCCAGGAAAAGCTGCCCGGCAAGGGGAAAGGGGTGTCTGGGGTACGGCCGCGGTACTGGACAACTGCTTCTTTCTCAGCAGTGCGAAAAAACCAGTGCTGTGGGGACAGGAGCAAGGAGCATAATGAGTTTTGAATTCCTGACCTATTTAAGTCAAGTCTCATTACAAGGGATCCCAACGCAGAACACTTTCAGGATGAAAAATGCTGTCAAATCATGTTTACTGTATGGATTTGTCAAACCGGGAAGACAAGTTGAATACAATACAACTAATCTCTGTGCATTCTTACTCGCTGTATTCAGAACTCCCCAGAGCTCCTTTTCAGAGCACGAGGCTTTTTGCCTACACTTCAACCATCTTGACAGTGGTGGTATCACCAACAAGGATGGAAGAGGACATGCTTCACCAATGCAGGAAAGCTCTCTGCATTTCAGTACCAAATGCCATGCATTTTCTTAGTAGACTGTCTCTTCTGAACCGTTTCTCAGTTCATAATTTCTTTGCACAACATTGGGAATTCCCCAGTGAACTTGCATTTCCACTAGACAGCAAGTTGTTCAAAGATCCACAAATTTAGCAGGACTTTTCTTCCTCCCCAAACACGCGCTTCAAATCTAGTCTCAGGAAGTTTGCATTTATAATGGTGACCATAACATTCCTGTGTGAAGGAAAAAAATCACTGGCCTAAAGCACAATAATCAGCAAATGGAAATCCTGCTTAAGGAAGCATAATCTGTATTTTAGAAAAAGTTAGATTATATGCTTTGAGGTTCATGTATTTGTGGAAAACACAAGCTTGTACTTGCCAGCTTTCCTGGAGACTTGAGAAGGCAGGAGTATCAACAGTCAAAACCTTAGGTAATGATCAAAAAAATAACAAACCTGTTCTGTATTATACTGTGCATTTAGCACTCGCTCAATGGTATTAATGTAATTTTACTTTCACCCTTAAAAACCTCATTCACTGTTTATTAATAATCTAGAACAAACAGATGCGTGTTCTTTGATACTGTACCAGTTTATTCCCACTTCAGAGTTCTTCCTCATTAAACAACAAAATTATTTTCATGTTAAGGTCATCTTCATTTTCACCTTAACAGCTCTGGAGAGAAGAAAGCCTGTTATGAAGTAGAATAGGCAGCAGGGTGCTCAATTACACATCCTGGATAGCTCAAACCGTACAAGGACCTTTAAACACTATCAGTTTGGGAGTCAAATTGGGAAAAGGCAGGAGCTCACAGCGATTCCATTTATTAGGAAAAAATATTAGAAAATAAGTTTTTAGGCCAGTAATTTGAAAACAGGAAATAAATTTACTGCATTGCAGATTTAAATAGTATGCAAACATCTCTCTTGAACAAGGAAAAGAGACAACGGTTCAACAAGCTCTTTAACCACATCCCTATGAGAACAGGGAAGTATTCCCCTCTGCTTTCCCTGCAAAACACCTCCATGTGTGCTCAAATACATCTAATACCCCTATACAATGCCTAGCCAAATTGCACATAAGTGAAATTCCTCCCTTGAACTACATGAAATTAGAGTGCATGACATGAACCATCGTTTCTTCAAGCATTACACACTTCCTCACAAGTGCTCCGACTGGTTACTTCCAGGCAGAAGCATAATTTTGTAACAGGTTGTTGGTATGTGTTAAGTTTAATGTACATCACATCCTGAAAATGACCCCTGAAAATTATACGAACTCCAGCTGGTCAGGATTGTGTACATGATCAGAACCTACAGGTTATATGCTTTGTAGTAAATCAGGTCAGGTAAAGCCTTATTAGGGAGCTTTTCCCCCCCCAAGAGATATATAATATTTTCTAACACTAGAAATCAATTTAAAAAAACACTATGAAAATGGAGAATCCTTTCTCACACACAGGAAGGCTCCATAAACACGCTAATAATTTTTGTAAGGTCTGCCGCTTCCTTTTCCTGCCCTCTGTTCTCCTTACTTTCTGACACAAGCTTCTGAATTCAGTTTTGCAAAAGGGAGATAAAGGAAATACCCCTTAAAAGACTTGCTATGTCACAAGTTAAGTTCCACTTACAGTCTCTTCCTCCACCATTTAAAATTACACAGCTACATGCTTAATATCCCCAAAAGAAAAGTGTTAATGACTGTGATTGCCTTGAGACTATTTTTATAATCTTTTAAATGGCACATCTCATGCTGGACTGAAGTGGTAGCATTTGAAGTCTCAGGCTTTTTGCCGCCTCAGCCACTTCCCATTTCTTTCTCTACGGCGACTCTCCTGTTCGGCCCCGAGGGGCCTGGTTTGAATGGCTGCATGGGTTAAAGGAAGAAATGGTGCTTATCCATTCATTTGGTTTTTAGTTAGAGGCCTTTGCCAGACTCAAGTTCCCTTCTATCCTGAAAAGTGATATTACAGTTAAATAACTAATGACGTTAATACCACTGAGAGAGAATTCCAGATCAGATTTGCTCACTAAGTGACAGTGAAACTGCTGGACTTGCAGACTCGCTACGGGATGTTGTGAAGCTAACCCACTTATCTCCTCATCCATGTCAGGACACCAACAGTAAACAACCTCCTTGTCTCCCATGGGGCTGCGTTTGCACCAGGAGATTAAATTAGTTCCTATAAAGGAGATTGATAACGAGCCTGTTGATCCATGTCAATTTGATGTCAATTTGAGTCACTCAGTAGGTAGTCAACTCCACAAATGAAAACAAGAGTAAAATATATTTGTTGCCAAATTGATGGGGTCAAGATTAAACACCAGAGCACATGATTTGAACAGCTATCTTCATATACATATGCACTTAAAGAGGACGACAGCATTTCCAAGAAGCACATGCACTTCTAGGTCAAGCGAGTGAAACATGCAGTTAAGGCAGCTCGAGTGCCAGAACAAAAACAAACAGGCTGTGGTTTTAGGAGACATTTATCATTCAGCAAGCAATAAAAATATCTCAGGGGAAAAAAAAAAAAGAAATAGTCAATAAGGTAGAAAATGGCAGGCTTGAAGAAATATATGCTTTCTCCCTCCCTGCAAAATCTCTTTGGAGCTATTTCTAGGTACCACACAGTTCACGTGCTGCAAGTATAGAACAGTCAAACATCATAACACAAAACCCAAAACTCTGTTGTTACATCGCAAGCGACTTCAGTTAGAGCTATTATTATCATTATTATTATTATCATCACCACCACCACCATCATTTGGAACTATGAAAAGGAAATTGGGAGGAGGGAAGAGATCATGACTTTAAACTGAGGTTTAAACAATATAAAAGCATTTATAATGCTTAGGTCACATCAGAAGAAAGGCCATACAGTTTATTTACCAAAAGATTATAAATTCAACCACAGCCACAGCATCCCTGATTTACTTCAGTGACTTTCTGCAAACAAAGTCATATGAAAGTCATTCTTCCTGCTGGCACCTGTTAAATGCTTGCCCAGCCTGAAATATTTTCAGCGATACTCTTGGCCTTCAACACACAGATGTCTGTATGGCTCTTGGTGACACATGGAGCCACCATACCCTCCTATGTTGGCTGGTTTGCCAAATTGCTCTTCTGCTTATTGCTTATTCTTTGCCAAACAGTCTGTAGAAAAAATTATATTAAGTGCCTGACCAGATACATTTTATACGGGTCATCTTCCCCCACTCCCTTTTATTATCCACCCCACAAGACTATGGGAGGGAAGGGGGGAATTGCATGGAAATACAAAGCCTGCTGTGCATGTTCCATTCTTTAGAGGTTTTTCTGAAAATGCTAGCAAGACTCATAATGTGGGAACACATGCAAACAAGAATGAAAGAAAGCAAGCCCTACCTTCTGAACTTGATAGATCTAGGGAAAAAGGGAAAGGAAAGAAACAAGGAAACAAAAACTAGCGTGAATGAATAAATAGCAATGCAATGTTCATTAACTCATTCTAAAGGGAAAAAAAAAATCATTTATATGGAATATACAGCAAAAGACAAATACAAAAAAGTGCACATCGAAGCCCTGTAGAATTAAGTAGAATGAAAGCAGCGTTTACATTCTAGGCCTCCTCCACACGAACAGCTAGAACTCAGCATTCCTGTTTCCACACCCGCTAGGCTCTCGGAGGCACACGCAACATTTGCTCCCCAGACTTTGCACCAGACCAGAGCCTAACCCAGCTGTCAGCTAGGACCTCTTGCTTTCCCAGCCTCCCTCCTTCAAAGAAACAGATGCCCAAATATTCACCTAGGATGACAGTTGTGCATCTACCATCACAATAAAAGTGAACGGCATTAACTACAGAAAATCCTTTCTTCTTTTAAGGACAAGTTTTTTCCTTAACTGATGAAGCATGGTTACAAAAGCATCAATGCTATACATCTTTCACCTGGTATAGCACAGTGTCAGCCTGTTAAAAGTCTCTGAAAATTTCTTGCACGTATATTGCCAGCATTGGAGGATCTCTGCAGGTTGCTTTTTCAATTTTTAATGTTTCCATGGAGCCTCACACTATTTGCAGGCCCTAATAAATGCACTGCTGACTCTACAAAGTTGTTCCATAGTCTTGAACCATTTTAATAATACACAAAATCATTATAGCCACTCTAATACATCTGAGTTAAGTGGAGAACTGCCCTTGACTGATCAGCTTTGTAAATCCACATGAAAAGAGAAAACTTGGTTTTTGTTGCATCTATACTAGCATTTCTAAAGCAAGAAACTTGTCTTGTTCAAGAACACCTAACTGGCTGCACAAATCCAGAAGGAAACTGCAGCTTCGTTCTCCCCACTTCTCTGCTGAACACCTAGCTTTGTATATGGAGGAAACATATCTCGGCTGTGGTCTCAAAGCCCGCAGCTGCCGTACTGCTTGTCTTCCTAAATAAGCACTGATGCTGAATAAACACCAACACCAGCCCCTCTGCTCTATGAGTACCACCCAGGGGGAACGCTACATCGCTCTGACTCCAATCCTTCAGCAGGTCAGCAAGGTGGCAGGGTAGTCAGTCTCCCAAATTTTGGGATATTCAGTGGATCCCTGCCATCCATTGCTCCTCTGAGCAACCTCAGGTGAATTCAGATCCCAACGCTGGGAAGCAGAGCGTACTTCTTTCAATCCCTGCCTCCGTGGGCTGATCAGGTTCCCCTTCATGATTGTGAAGGACAACTGCAGAACCCAGAACCTCAGAAGCATTAATTCCTATTCCTACAAGTGCAGGGGGGATAATTGAGACCCACACTTGAAGCTAGCATTCCCACACACTAATCACCTCGCTTACCTTTTACGAAGAAAACCTTGAAGAGGAAAATGAACTAAACCCTCCCACAGTTCCCAAGACTGCATACTGACTCTAATCTTTTGCTTCTCCATGGCACACACAGAGTGCCTTTCATCCATACGCAGAAGCCAACCACCACTGTTTTAAATGTGGCAATTACCACGTAGCTGTTTAACCTTTAAGCTTTAACTTTCCCATGCCGTTGTTTCACCCATGCTTCGAGGCAACACCGTGGAAGTTGTCTTTTCCAAACGCCAATGCTTCAGGCTTGGCATAGCAGGTATTCCTGCACACACGAGGTCTTGTGTCCAGGACCCAGATTGCCAGTGGGTAAGATAACAACAAGGCCCTTGTTCAGGGCCAGACACCGCAGAGGGCGGTGGAGAGGGGCACAGGGACAAAGCCAAGTGCGTCATCGTAACTCTTCCAACTTTTTATAAAACATGGAATTTTTTGGTCATCTGTTAGCTAACAGCTCTGCTCCAAAGTGACTGACCTCTCATCAGCGTACTGTCCTTCTTAGATTATTATCTAGGAAAGTAATCCTACTGTTGTCGGAAATCCTAAATCCTACTGTTATAGGAAAAAACAAACATGTTTAAGCAATAATTTCTATTGCAGGAATGACCCACAAAGAGCTTAACAGAGTCAATAGACATCTAAGCAGTCAAATGTCTTAAATAGCACTTTCCTGTGTTACAGTATGACAAAAAATGTGGTTTTGTCCACAGTATTAGTGGGAGACTGCTTTCCTGGTTTCCTCATCATATGAGGTTTCCCACAAATGTGAAGTTTTCCATAGAAATAGCTTTTGAACTGGACAGAACAAGCCACTGAAGCATGGTTAGATGGCAGCAGAAGGCAGAAATTCAGAGTCTACTAAAAACACCTTCAACATTGTCCCTCTCCAAATTTTCCTGTGCATCTTCAGACTAGTGGTATAAGAAAGATACAGATAACCATCACAAGCCTCCTTAATTTCTTCCCTGTATATGCAAGCACCGACTTTATTCATAGTCAGTCTCTCCCCTCCCATTCAAGCCACGAGAATTCTGCTTTTCTCTAGTTTTTCCTACGCTGCCAGGGATTTTAAACGGCTTCAAACAATCCCGAATGCCAGCTGTGCCATGGGATCCACTGACTCAGATCAGGCTTGGGGGCACCAAATCCTAGCAAGGGAAGAAGGGTCCTAAGTCACAGTCAACAGGATGGGTGAGCAAGTCTTTTGCCCACATTAACTTGGCTTTAGTACCTCAAATTTACTACATGCTCAAGGAACTGACATGGAAAAAAAGAAACCCACGACAGAAAGTACGGTAACATTTTATTCCAAAGAAATATGAATACAAAGGAGGAAAAATACGTGCAAACTAGTATGCTGGTAAAGAATCAATTTACAAAATAGCAAAGGCAAGTTTTGTGCTATGTCGTTAAAGCAAGAACTGAAAGTGAAGCGAGGAGACAAGCACAATGCCTTTTGCCTTGAACTAAAAGTACAGGCTCATCTGCTGTGTGAACTGGCAAGCAAGAATCTTATCCTGCAGATTAAGGAGTGGGAGGAGATCATTCTCTTTTCACTTCAGGCACTAATATCAGCTTAAATTGTGGTCTCCAAGTGTCAGTCCTCGAAGAGACATTTAAAGTCTTGCCAGCAGAACACACAGAAGGTACTCCTACATAAAACGTTCTCTACAATTAGCCCTAATGCTGCAGCTTTTATGTGTCTTGAAACATTACTGTTCAATATTTCTTGGAAAAAAGGCTTTAATATATTTTATGCCAAGCTTCTAAGAAAAAAAAAAACACACAGAAAAAAACTTCTTCTCTCCATTTCACCTGGTAGTCCCATCAGAATTAACAATTTGTTACTCAGGAAGACTGAGCTGACAACTCCTGACTTGAGTTTTTGTGTGAATTAAAAATAAATATCTGAATGCACACAAGCATTTGTCTCAGTACCAAACACGACTCTACAGTATGAGCCAAACGGACTGGCCTTAGATTCTGCAACTGTAAACCAAATGTTTAAAGACCATGGCAGCACAGTATGGTAAAAAATACAAGGACCCATCACTGCTCTGACTTCCACGAACTGGGTGGGGACCAGTGGCATGGAAACAGGCAAGGGAGCAAGTATCATCTATTATAATCGCACCTTCAACTTAGAACATGCATTGGCATTGCCTCACATGAGAGCTCTCCTGTACTGACTTACTATGCACAGAAGCATACCAGAAAACCTACTGTGACCTCCAGATTAATTATTTACATCTTTGGTGGATAACAACAACAAAGCAGCACAGAATATGAAGTCAGAAGCATCCAAGCAGTTACTTTTACTAGATCTGTGCCTTTCTTCGAGCCTCATGTCCAGGAACCGCTTTTCTACTAAATATATAAATATATACATACATATGCAATTCAAGAGTGACCACTACCCTTATCTTCATAAATTAGCATATATCAGATCATGATTCTTGTGCTCATTTTCTTTCTTCAGCTTCAGAAAACACTTTTCATTTACCTGGTTTATACCTTCCTATTAAACTTGTACTCATGCTCTCCTCCTTACCTTCCTCTCCCTGGAAAACAAACCCCAAAACACTGGCACACTTCTTTCTGCTGCCTGGCATGCGCTGATGCCAGGTGATGAGATGATACCACCTCTGGAACACATCTGCAATCCTGCCCACCAGAGCGAACGGCAGCAGCCTTCCACAGTAACTTTCCCACATCTCACACTGCACTTCAGAGTGTTTTCTTCCAAAAGCCCATCTATTTCTGCTATGTAATTTCTCCAACTATTGTTATACTACAGCAGTATGTTCCTTCACATTAAGCTTCCAGAAGAATTCTTAGAGTCCCCTTATATTTCAAGCCAAGTTTACTCAAGCCATCCCTCCGGGCATACAGACCACAAGACAAGTAGCAGCGACCACTGGCAAGAGGTACAGCAGCCTGAGCAAGGGCTGAGCCCGCACCTGCGGCAAGGTGCTCACCATCACCTAAAGCCAAGCTGTCTGCCATGAGCTTCTCATCGTATGCTCCTTTTGAAAGGAAAGGAGCTTATCAATAGCGTGGCTGATGATGAATACAATTTTAAATTTCCAAAAGAATTGACTGTGCAGCAATTTCTGCTGTCAATTACGTGTGCTGCGTGAAATAATTTCTGCCAAAACAGGAGCTCGGTGTGATTCCATCGCGTAGCCCTCGCCATTTACCAATGAGCTTTACTACACAGTTATGACCAGTCTTTGGTGCACTCTTCACACATGGCTAGCCTACAGAACCACAGCACAGGGCATTTTAATAGCTTTCTAATGAAGTTGCTCCTCATTCTACCTACAGAAACATTCATAAGAGAACAAAAATCTCAGATACCTGGTGCTTTTGCATTGATATTTCTTTTGTAATGGCAACAGAACGTTAGTTAAACCACATATGTAGACTCATGATGCAAAAGTCACCCAGTTAGTTTAAAATGAGGAAAATGAAGCACAGATTAAGAAGTGTCATTAATATTACATGATGGGCAGGAAAGGAGCCAATTTCCAGTCCAAATCCAAATCACTAAAACACCCTACTTCACTGCCAGCAAGAGCTATACTGCCATGTTTATAGCTTGTAATGGTAGCATCTGGAAAGTTTTAACCCAGACCAACGATATAAATATATTCTCAAATAACCCATGCTCCACAAGAAGCCTGTCAGGGCACGTACATTGCTTTAAGCATGAACAAGTACATACACATACAATAAATTTATTTATTGCTTTTCAACTCCTGTAACTGGCTCTGAAAAGCCTTCTGAAGTAGTAAAGCAAGTGCTTTAAGTTCTGGTTATTCAACACGGCAGGAGTGGGAATGTGCTATTTATTTCTCTGAAAAGTTTGCGAAGGAAAATGAAGATGGCAGACAACAAGCTGTACAGACACCAGTATCACTGTATGTTCTAAAGGGCGAGTGCCAAATCTCCCGTGTTGATCACTGCTTGGGATTTTCCATATTTATATTTTCTTTTATTATATCTGCAAGATACTTTTGGCAATGGAAACCTTCCTACAGCCATCCTTACTAGCTCTACCTTGCATCTGGGGGCTGAGATTAAGCTATTTGAAAAAAATTAGGGAATATCCAAGCTTGCAAAATATTAAATTTGTAGTCACATTACGTAATTTATGCCAGTGAATTACAAAACAGATTGTAGTGGATATCTGGCTTAGCTTTCACTGAATTTGGTATTTTGGAGTGACATCCTGTGCCATGCGATTTCTCTCTATACAAACTATTTTTCTCAGATTTTCAGATCAATAGCTCTTCAGTTAGTAACTGCAGGAGCACACACACAAGCTTTAGTTTTCATACCCAAATTTCAATTTACTAGGACACCCTTTGCAGCATCAGCTTTTAATCATCAAGGGGGTCATCAGCTGCATTAAAGTTATCTGCAAATTAGATGGTAACACCATTGTCAGCTGCCATGACACCCATATTTAGTTTGCTGCCCAAACAAAACACCTAGTGGTTGTTTACCACAGGTCTTCCAAAGGCTGCTCGGCAAGTCCCACCACTCAGGCTGTAGGCACAGCAGGCAACTTGACAGTACCGATGCTTGTCTGCAGTCCAGGCCTTCTGACTGTGGTCCAGGTTGCAAGAAACATCCCCCAAAAAGCAGCAACTGTAGCAGAAAGACGCTGCTCTCTTCCACAAGCACTGTGCTTGCAGCAGCGCTCCCCCACAGCTCTTACTCCTGATGTTGTTTGCAGGTACATCTAACCCTGCTGTGGCTACAGGGTGCTAAGACACATCCAGACGTGCCTGAACTAGACAAGACTCCAGCACAAAGCTGAGCATGGGCAAACTGCCCAAGTGCTTCTGTTCCAAGCTCATTACTGCACCTGCACTGACACTAGCCTGCTATCGCATCCCGATTTACTGCTTAAAAGCTAAGCCGAATCCTTCTCTGCATCCTAAAGCACAGATGCACATTTATTCTTACCACGTATTCCCATACCCTGCCCCCAAACTCCTTACTTCTTCCCTTTCCTTCAAAGTCTATTTGAAAAAATTAAATTAAGATTGCTGCTGGCCCTGTCATGTCTACTCTGCTGTTTCATTAAATGCACATCAACAAATCCAAGTTTTAAGCCCTTCTGGTTCAGTCCACCTGTGCCAACCCGTGCTTGCAGCCCCATTCTAATAGCACCGCTCTACCTTCCAGAGCTTCAAAACAAACGCACACCTGTGCCAACCCATGCTTGCAGCCCCATTCTAATAGCACCACTCTACCTTCCAGAGCTTCAAAACAAACGCTGCTCTGAGTTTCTTGGAGTGGAGAGAATGACATTTAGTACAGCTCTTACTTGTCAAACGCAACACGAGCAGAACAAGCCTTTTTGGTCTTTACGATCATTCCTACACTGGAAGCCCTTGATCTCCCACACGCTGACGTGCAGAGGCACAGAAACTTTGCTGATGCTATAAAAACAACTAGCTCTTCCAGAATTTGGGAGAGACTACACCAGGCATTCAATCCAAACACTTTGGAGAAGGTAATGTTTTGCCAAATTCAGTTTCTATCATTACTTCTGCCAACAGCAGACCATCATTTTTACAAACGGGGGCGACCACAATGCCAGCTTCACAGCAACGAAACAAAACAACTTGCAAGTAAAGAGTTATACAATGGCCAAGAGTCTTCCATATTCATTAGATTTCTAACGAAGTGATAAGAATCCACCCCCCAATGCACACACAAACAAGCTGTGTACTTCAAAGTTTAATATTTAACAATGATTACTAACCAACCACCAGTATTTTCTGTGAATAATTATACTGGCTTCACTAAGATAAAATTCTTGCCACAATCTGAATTTTTTCCAGGCTATTTTATTTGCTATCCTATGATCAACATTAGCTCCACACAGGCTATTAATGTTTCAACAAAATATAGATTAACCCTTTGTTCCAGGATCTCGGATTATATTCAGGAAAGAAGATGATCAAAACACCCCCCCCCACCAAAGCCTTGACCATACCTCTTTCTGCTGCCTCTCCAGTTCTTTCATTCGGATCTCCCGTGCCTCTGCCCGTGCCGCCCGCTTTGCTGCGAGTCTTGCTTCAGCCTGCGAACAGGAACACAGCAATGAAATAAAAGCTGGACAATTCAACGTGAAACACACTTGTTAAGCAGGGCATGAAATAAGGAGACTTGACTCGGCAAGACTGTAAACACATCTGTAGGAGTTAATTCCCTATTGCAAGTAATGGCCCTGCCTTCCATAACTTGTTATGCTTCACAGGCAGGTAATACACCCTCGTGTAGGCACTACCTTTGGTTAGCAGTCATGTTTAAAAGTGCCCTGCATTTCCTTAATTACTATTTGTGTGGATAGAGAGGAAGCAGCGACATTTATCTAAGAAAGGCAGGTTTTGCTCTGGGTTTTTTTTTCCCCCCTGAGGCGTAGGTTATTTTTTATTGATGAATTAATTTGACCAACAGCAAACACATTATGTGCCTTTTTTCCTAACCACTGACATCACGCATGCATACATGAGCACAGCAGTTAGGTAAACACTGCTGTTCAGCATGACTATGCACAACTAAAGCTGAAATAATGGAGTCGAGGGAGTAGGGAAACTGAGAAAACGCACTAACTCAATTAAAGTCTTCAGACATCCATATTCAAGTCCAAACCTCTCCAGAGTGGAAATCTGCCAAGAACAGGCCTCTCAGGAGATGACAGTGCTTCCTCATTTCAGCCCAGTTGGAAGTGCTGAAACATGCTATACAGTAACATTTTTAATATTCTGCTTTTAATCCCAGGCAAAACCAGTTAGTCTTATAGAGAAAAATGTAAAATTAGCTGAGGCTTGGTACAGTGCGACTGTGAGCAGTTCGTCCAGCATAATTCAGCAACGGAGCAAAAGGCATCGCTCAGCTAGTCACCCTGGCGTTACACCCAACTCCTCTGCTTCCGAAACCTTGTACGCTAAGTACAGCATCCAATTTAACAGGAAGAACTGCAGAAATATCAAGGTCAAGCATACAGAAAATCAAGATGCCAGCGCTTTCACTAGCATTTCTAAACAGAAGGAAAACCAGAAAAAAAGAAAGGTGTAATTTCTTTTCCCTTCTGTAAGTATATTCGCCACTCAAACTCGTGGAAAAGTGCCACAACCTTCAAAAACACAAAACAAAACACGGAAAAAAACCAGAAAAGGAGTAAGTTGGCTGAAACTTTCAGCTAACAGGAAAGGGCTAGTGAAAACCAAGCACTAGCTGTGTATGGGAGGACTAGGAGCCTTGCGGTGCTGTAGATCTCAAATCCTCACCAGTGATAACAAAATCCAAAATATACAGTCACTAGGCCAAAATTTAAGTTCACATCACCCACCTTCTACAAAACCCCACCACAAACAGCCCCAGTTCCTAAATACTGCCGTTACCAACATTCTCCCCCGTTTTACTCCATTGCCCCTTGACTCGAACTGGTAGGCAGGTAGATTCTTTTTGACAACTGTTGCAGCTCCCTGTTGTGCAAATACGATCTATTTAAATGAACTGAGTTTTTAATACTTGCAACACAGACAACTTGAAAAATTACTTGTAACAACAGAAAAACCTTCCCAGAGGGTAAAAACGCCCATGGCAGAAAGAGAAAAGGGTTGGTTTTGCACAGAGCATTGCTCTCTGCAAACTCAAGTTCATTGCTTGAATTTCAAAGTAACTGGCTCTGCCATGGAGAGAAACTGCAAAATGCACCTGTGGTCTCGTACCTAGAGCAGACCTCCACGCTTGTGCCCAAAAACTGTGCCCTCTCATCATCGCAGTGTGCTGTTACTTATGGAGCCAAATGACAGCAGGCTCCGGGGTGAAGGCGTGTGTTAGCACAAGCGTTTTCAAGGGACTGTGGCTTCAGCAGCACTTACCAACCTGACGCAGTTTGTCCAAAAAAATCCCACAGCCCCGCTGCCGGGCAAATACTAGGCGGAATCCCTGCCAGGCAGTGTTATGATTTACCTGCAATGTTTGAAATCATTTACGACACCCACTACATAAACGTGCTGTGAGATGTATGCTAAAGGTAAGAAATCACAATAGTGGAACAAGTACGATATTGACTTGACATGATCCACTTCTGTTTATCTGAAAATAAATTTCAATCCCTCAAGAAGCACTACTGTACCTCCATCTCACAGTCGGTACTGCTGTAAATACAAGGCAGCGTCAGAGACACGGACTGCTCCGGGCTATTCACCACAAGCGGCTGCCAGGCGATTCATATGATAACATGAACAACCACCATCTTTTGCCAGTAGCCGTGCAAACCCAACATGCACATACCTCAAGGAAGGGGAATCTTGCTCCAAGATCTCCAGCTCGCTAAGGATTTTTTTGGGGAGGGCGAGAACAGGAGATAACAGCTTTAAACAACACCTTTGACTCCTTATGGTTTAGAGATGCATTCCCTCATCCTGACACGCAAACTCTAAGTAGTCTTAAGAAACAGCACAAAAGTGAAAGTAAGCAAACTTAACTCTGTACATAATTTGAAAGTTGCACCTGATCAGGGTGAAGAACAACATCAGTGCAAACAATTAGCTGTATTTTTCCCGTACGGAAGGCAAAAGGACCTTAAAGTCTCCATAAGCAAAATACACAAACAGTACAGAACTGTGTCTCTCTAACATCCCGCCTCCCAGAAAAAGACAGAAACAAGATTATTTTGATGTTAAAATTATTGTAGATACCGCCCTTATGAATTTCAATAACCAGCTGAGCTTTCATGTTAGAAAACCTTTATGCCTGCATGTAAAATTCAGGTGTTGTGCTTAACACACACATGTAAGTATTTCCCCTTCTGTCTTCCTCATATGATTAGGGCCAAAGGATTTATATGCTTGCTAGCTATATTGCAGAATTATATATTCTCCAGAAGTGAGCACAATATACAATGAAATGAAGTGACTTGAAAAACGGAAGGGAAAAAAAGTTTAGCGAAAGTTATTCTAAGGCCTCCCTGAGAACAAGGCTCACCAGTTCCCTAGATACCGATACCAACTCCAGTAAGTTAAATTAACTTTTCTTTGTTCAACATCCTAGTAAATGACAGGTTACATGTATGATACATTTCAATTTTAACTGCCAGTCCATGGGGTGGTGCCTCTAATCTATTCCATTTCAGCTTTGCAGTCCTCCATCTGCTCATGCAAAGCCAATCTGCAAACCTTTAAGAGATGCAAGAGTAAAAATGCATTTTCACTTAGTATCTTTGACTAACAATAGCTTACATCTGGAACAAACATATTTTTTATTTATGAACTTTTTCTTTCCATGGCCACATGGCTTTTCAGCATTAAGTATCTTTCAATACAAACACGAGAAACAATATAGTTCTGAATCCTTTTAAATAACTTTTTAACTTTTTTTTAGCGTAACAAATTCTGCCATCAGCACATACCCTACTGGAACCTTTAAACCTGTTCTCAGCGGTGTCCGGGTGCTATTTAGATGATTACACAGTTATTTTCATTGTGGTTCTTGACAAAAACTCTGCTCATTTGTGCTGGACAAAGGCAGCTTGTAAGAAACCGGCTATCCTTCTCTGAAGGGTTTTCCAATCCACAGCAAAATGAGACTATGGGTGACAAGAAATATGCAAGGAGAACAAATTCTCAATGCAATGATCTGATCAATGCAATAAGCAGTGGTCTCTGATGGTATTAGTGATACAAATAGCACTGAGATAATGATTGAGCATGAACCAAACATTTCCATCATATAAAATTTAATCCGTTTCCTCAGGTAAGGTTGGTTAAGAAAGACTTCACGTGCTCTTACTCGTCATCCATCTCCCTTTGGCACTTTAAGAAAACAGGACCACTGGAGCCCGTAGGAGGGTGGGTAAGAGCTCCCGAATACTCACAGGTCCCCAGGAAAGTCCTCATCTGACAAAGAGCAGACAGTCCCCCAGCTGCACGAGTCCAATATCTTATCTCAGTGTTTCCAAACCCCACTCATCTGAAGCTACGCATGAGCCTTTGGAGGGTGTTCTCCAACACGGCAGAAACGTGTATTACGCTATAATCAGGTCATTAAATGATCAACCTTTGCCCTTCATAATACCGTTTCTACCATGCTTTAATTGGTATAGTTACCTAATCCAAATGGACATTTTTGGTATTCTGTAGGTGGCATCGGTGACAAACCAGGCATCACTCATGAGCTCAATCAAGTAAATCAATCAGGGCAGGGATGAATCCACAGAAACGTATTACGCTATAATCAGGCTGTTCATTAAATGATCAACCTTTGCCCTTCATAATACCGTTTCTACCATGCTTTAATTGGTATAGTTACCTAATCCAAATGGACATTTTTGGTATTCTGTAGGTGGCATCGGTGACAAACCAGGCATCACTCATGAGCTCAGAGAAGTAAATCAATCAGGGCAGGGATGAATCCACACCCAACACTTATCGTGTATGATTTTACCGAAGTCAAACTCAAAGTCTGGTAGCAATCCTAATGTCCAGCGAATTCTGCAGCAAGTGTGGGAGACAAACAGGAACTATTACATACAGATTCGCCTGTGCAGAAGCACAGCTCACCTACTGACAGAAGCAGCTACCCCAACAGCAAGCCACATGGCATGGACGTTCATAACAGGACCTCCACTGTCACCTACAGACTTTTAGACTAACACAATAAGGGTGTCAGATTTATTATGGACCTCTTCCTCAAAAGCAGGGGCATGACTGAACTCGTCCGAGTTTGTCAAACCATACTCTTTAAAAAGTCTTGGACTCTGTTTTCACATTAATAGTTCTGTGCTATAAATACCTTGATTTCTTGCACACCCTGCAAACAGCAACTTGAACTTCACATTTCTCTCTCTGTGCTGACTAAAACGAAACAGGCTTTGCTTGGATGACTTTGGCCTTCATCCAGCCCAAGCACTTGTCAGAGCCCAGACCCAAGTCACCTCTAAGGGCAGTGGCAGAGACAGACACCATAGCCTGCAAGAAACACAGCTGAATGTCATGAAATCACCAATACATACATACAGACTTCTGACATTCAGACTACAAAAGCTAAAATGACAGTCTCAAGGTTGCCAGCATAAATAACTATTCAACAGATTCAAGATGAAAAAAAAAAAAAAGATCACTAAAATTGAAAGAACTAATCTTAAAATCATCAAAAATTCACTAGTGACTCAGTGAGCAATACAGGCCTCAATCAAAAGTGACAGATCACTGGCAAAAACAGAAGAATAAAAATATGAAGCTTAATTGCACTCATTACAAAGCTTTTTTTAACTTCCCTTTTATGAAGTATTGCTCATCTGACAAGGAGAGCTGGCAGCTTCAGCCGTATTGTTTATGTCACACACACACAAAAAAACCTCCTAAGGGGCTTCTGTAAAGCCCTATGGGCAAAACAAGGAGATGCAACCACAGTGCTGAGATGAACACAGAAATACACACCAGCTGAAAAATAATCACCTTAACTTATGTAGCTCGCTCAAATACTATAACTACACATGCTTGCATTTTTGTCACTTTATTGCAGTTGCCCAGAATGATTTATAGCCCCTAAGCCCCAAAACAAGTATACTGTTGCACTGCAATACTGCTGCACTGCAAAATGCTCGTTGCTTTTGTTGGTCCATTTGCTCAGCACTTGACACCCCTGCTTAAGGGTCACTTTAGCTTTAAAATAAAAATCCAGTCCTATGCAGCAGCAGAGCTTTATTCCGCCTTAAGGAGTTCAGTATGGTTAGTTCTGAACAGGGGCAAAACTAAGCAGGTTGTAACCTGGTTCACTACTGAAGTACAACTGCATCTGAAAAAAAAAAAAAATAGGAAAGAAAAAGCCAGAAGATATATTTGATATCAGCTGGAAAGGGTGAGAAACATCTCCTGCTGTCCGCAGCATGAGGCAGTGGGGAGAGGTGGGAGTATGAGATTTGCAACTGCTGGAGAGTTACCCCCACACACCCCCTTCTTAAATACCACTCACCAAGAGGAGGCGAGGTCTGGTTGCACCCATAGCCAGCGCTGCCGGGGCCAGCGTATAATGCACAATGGTTACGGAAGCGACGACTTCCTGGCCCGGAGCGCAGCGTCGGGGAAGCTGCACATTCATTATCATTTTGATGAGAGAATTATTTAGGTGACTTGGTTAGGTAGAGGCTAATGACACACATCCTGAAGGTGTGCATTCTCAGAGCTTTTCCCTTATGAAATGTCCAAGAGTTCATTGTTCGACTGGAAACCCCAAGAAACAGCCAACAAAGACAGGAAATTATGCTGCTTTTTTGAGCAGTGAAAAATGACTATGTTGACTTGCCACATAGCTACATACATAAGAGTTTTCGATCTATACAAAGCACCCCTTAATTCCAATGTATTCAAAATTATCTGCTGCTAAGACTAGTAATCAAAGTTAGTATCATATTTTTTGTGGAGGACTGAAGTGTTAGTTTGCCAGCAGCAAACCGTACTCGGAAAGCTCTCTGATCCCACTGCCGGAGAAGCTTTAAAATACAAGTCTGCCCGACTAAATTACACCTGCTCACTGTACGCAACTACTATTATGTATTTCTGCAATAACTATTCTCAGGTCGATTTAAACTTCTTACCAACATGCTTAAGATACAGCCAGCAAGTCACTTTTGGGGCAAGCATAATTTTTCATGACTGATGCCGTCCCATTCCAATATTCTGGACATAAAGGCTTTTCCTCAAGTGTTATACAACTGTTCACTCTATTTACATAAGGCATACTTCATCAGACAAAAGAAATCCGATAAGGTTTGCTGTACTTCTACAGAATTTAAAGCCTATTTAGACAAGCAGCACTTGATCTGCAATATTCCTGTAACACAGCTGACCAACATAGCTATCAGGTAAAACTAGTGCTAACCCACGGCAATGTTTTTCCCGTCTCCACTTGAGTAACAAGTGACCTAAACCAGCAAGTTCCAGGAGCTCACCATGAGTTATCACACACTCCTTAGCATCGAAACAACAGCGTCTATAAATGACTTCTATGTGTAGAGGTCAAATCAGCATATTTACCTGACATTTTTTGCATGTGAGTTATTAATATAAACATACTTTGCACCACTTACTCATATGACAATAAGCCTATGAATCACGCAGGGCTCGGTCAGTCCACATCCTGTTTAACTCCTCACCTTTCTCTTAAATGCAAATTAGTATTAAAAGCCAGCATGTTCGTGAACCTTAGCCTACACATAAACATAAGGATTCCCTTCTAATATCCACGTACCAGCATCGTCGCTTAGACAGGCAGGCCCATTACAGGCTTGTCTAACAGCTCCTCTCCCATTCGTGCCGTGACAGCGGTGAACCAGAGAGTGACAGTTTATGTCAACGGATTACTAATCCACCCATTCACATTTTATGGTCACACGGGGCTGTTTTGAAACTTTATTTAGAAAACATTTAACAGGTTCAGTTGGCCTATCTGCTCCCGTACCAAACTGGGCAGTAAGCAGGTTACATTTTAGTACCGATTTTTACAAGAAAGCCTTAGAAAACTCCATGCACTTTAAAGAATTAGCTACCTTACGCGGCTGTCAGTCAGTGGCAGTCCTGAGTACCTCACTAGCACCAACCTCTGCTGTGAATTACACGCCGTGCCCGCAAGGAGACTAAACCCCAGGTGGTACAAAGCCCACGGACCCCAGCACCTCGATCACCACGCTGGAGCTCAGACAGCGAGGGCGCAGGGGCAGCCCGCGGGCAGCGGAGCTCGGCGGTGTGACAGACGCATAGGGGCTCACAGCCGC